CCGAGCTTTTTTTGGCCCGAGCCGAGCTGAGCCCGACCAAAAAAAAAGAGGCTCGACCCGAGCTTTTGGCCCGAGCCTTAGCGAGCCGAGCCCTGGCCAAGCCGGCTCGTATTTTTTGGTTTTTTTATTATTTTTTTTACTTTTTCTTAGTTGCCTTTTGAAAATAGGTGGCTTGCCCCGGCCACGGGCCGGCGTGAGCCTGGCGGGCCCGAGTCAAGCCCGAGCCGTCCGAGCCTCCGAGTTTTTTTGCCACTGCTAACTCCAACTTTTATTTTTTGTATTATTTTATAATTATTTTACTTAGACTTTTTATTTTTTGTGAGGCTTACGCCTCAATCTGCGTCGTGACTTACGCCTTGCCTCATAAAGAAAAACCGCCTTAGTACTTAGTTTTGCCTTTTAAAACCTTGGTTCATCTCGTTTTTTTTAGATTGGGCTTTGATTTCCCCCCTTTATATGGTGCTTCGTGAGTATAGAGAGAGAGACATGTGAGTGCAGTTCATCGCGTTTTGGTTACTCAGGTGATGAGTTCAAGTTTAGGCTGTTTTGTGGGATTTCTTCCACATGCAGCATTTGGAGTTTTGGCTAGTGTTTTGGTGTTAGAGCTTTTGTTGGAACACGAATTATGTGTTCGACTAAGTTCTCCCGACAGATAGAGCTCACTGTGTGTCGGCACACTTCGTGAATTTCTTTTGGGGGAGTGTGAGTTTTCGTAGTATCTTTGGAGTGTTCTTGGAGTGACTTTGGAATAGTTCTTTGTTGTTTCTACATTATTTGTTGTTTTGGTCTCTTGTCGTCACTAATTTTCGTATTGCTTTGATTTGGATTTCTTCTTAGTGTGTACAAGTATTGTCACCGTCACTAGTTCATGATTGCAAATTGATGCTTTTGCCAGTATAATTTGAGGGGAATGTCAATGAGATTGAATAAGATTACAGAGATCGTCGAAGATTGAATAAGATTTCGGAGATCGTTAAAGATTATGATTATATTATTATAATTGTATTAGATATAGATAGATTGTTTGTACCATTAATTAATATTGTAATTGATTGCTTCCATATTTAGTTGTTATTTTAGTCATATTTAATGAAGGAACATTTCACAAAGAGGGTAGAGGGGCATCGAGTGTTTTATTGAGTATATTGAGGGACATCGAGTGTTTTATCGAGTATATTTGACAAGTGGAACCCTACTCTTCCCTGAGATAATTTAGTCAATCAATTTGATAATTCTAGTCCCTGCTAAATTAAAAGGAAATCATGCAAAATGAATAATTTAAATAGTAACATCTAACCAAACACATGATGTTGCAGGTCTAGCTTTCAATCCCTCATAATCTCATCAACCAAATGAGGCTTTATGGAAAGTTATAGTCACTTTGATTTTTGAATTTATTACTCATCATACATCTCATGTTATTTCTAATGGGTTATGTGCGAGCCTTTGAGTGACATCATTTTCGAATTTTGAATTTGGATCCAAGTGTGATTTCTAACGAGGGTAGTAGTATATAATTTTCATTTACGATAGACTTGCATGAAGGTTCCGTATGAATTGTGCTCTTTTTTGTATTTAGATATGCATAAACATATAAAACAGTTACAAGATGAGGTTCCTTAGTCTGTGTTATTCATTCACAATCTAGTTTGAGTTGGTGTGACCAGGAAGGAAACATCGTAAGTAGAATTTCAGATAAGCACTTTGTAATTAAAATTTTCAGGTTAGTTAGAATTAAGGAGGAATTTCTAGAGCAGTGATCATAGTAGGAATATGGATTATAGTTGTTTGGAACTAAGGAATATGTTGTCCCGAGTGACTAGTTAGGCATTTCGGTTCAAGCAAGGAAGGAAGGGTATGATACATTAAATTCATGTGGATTGATAAATGGAGAAGTGCTAACGGTATTCTATGGCTGGGCTTATATGCTCATAACTTTTTCTCACTTTATAAGTAAAACAAGCACGCATATAACCACCCAAACACACTTTATGTGATTGGACCATACTTAGAAAATTCAAAAGAAAATTATGTAGAATGATTATTATATCAACTATGCTATATGATACTAGGTGATGTTAGGTCATTAAATATCTAAAATAAAAATACAAAAAAGGAGGATGTTTAGATAGATGTTTAGCCATACTAGAATATTAAAATGAGAATCGAGGGTATGCACCAGCAAGTGAGGTGACACAATTTAGAATAAATTATGGAAATGACAACTATGGTTGAGACACATCTTGCTTAAAGTTAAAAAAAAAAAAAATCTTACATTCACAAAAACGTAGCAATCCTCTTAGCACAAGCTGTAAGAGAGAAAGGTAGGTCAAAACCAACATAGTTTCATGTGATTTTAAAAGACTTGATGTCATTGTTCTTTTGAGTATGTGGTGGCATTGGATCAAAAGTGTTGAAAGGGATTCATTTAGCTGACCTCAAGTTAATTGGGCATAAAACGTAGTCTTGTACATTAGAAATTAGGATGCTGCAAGTGTGTGCAAGCGGAACATGATCTGCATGGAATTCTCATACGCATTTGCTTTGGGCGGTGCACAGAATTACCATCACAGCTTTAAAGTTTTCCCCAATAAGTTCTGCATTATGTTAGGAGTTGCTTTTGAATGTAATGTATATTGAATGCATTCATATGCTGAAAGGTATGTGCATATGTAGAGTATGTGATGAGCATGTTTTTTTTGTTTTTTTTGATAGGCAAGTATATGATGAGCATTTTCCCCCACTGTCCCCAATGTAAAGTAATGAGTAAAGCAGATACTAATTATCATGACTGTTTTACATTCTTGATTGCAGGTTATCTTTCCTGCACTTGATATCCGTGTAAAGAATGTGGCACGAACTTACTCCCTTGAGCACGAGGGAGAAAGTGTGCTTTTTGATCAGCTATTCACATGGTTAGACTCTGATACGCAAAATGAAGGGCGTTACAGGAGAGAGCTGGCCTCCTGTACGGGAGCCCTTCAAACATCAATCAGTCAGCACATGGCCAAGGAAGAGGAGCAGGTTTAGTTTTTATCTTCCCTTTTTTCTTTTTGTAATCGTGACAGTTGACTGCCTATGGTATGGTCATCGTAAAACGGTGTACTAAATTGAATTCCAGTGGGTAACAACGAAGCATGTGCAGTTTTCTTACATACTGCCTTATCCATCCTTCAATAGGATTAATAGCCTGCATACACTCATAACTAGAGCTATACTGAAAGCAGCAGGCCTTGTTCACCTTGGTATTAGGAGTTGTTAATCTAACTGTTTCACTAAAGGTAGCATAGGAAGCTCTAATTATAGAAAGTTTCCGATCATAAATATTGGTGTTTTATACGCTACAGATTTTGTGAAATCATGTGATTATGAACCAAAATGTTCGTACATTTATACAAAAAGATTATTTTCCCTTGGCTGGAGCCATTATCTTGCAAAAATACTTTAGAAATGATTTTGAAGTGATGGGTCAAAATGTCAGCAGAGTGTATTATCATCTGGTTGCAACTTGTATGGGACCGATGCCACTCGAAACTGATGGCCCATTTTACTCTTGGATTTTACCTTCATTAGCTTCGGAATTTGAAAATCACATTTCTGCTTCAGATTTGCTTGGGGTTAGATGTTGTCCTTTATAGATATGTAGTGGCGGCTGCAAACTTTCGGCAGCTGAGCTTCTCAATTTTTTATCTCCTTGGTTCATTGTTGCTGATCCTTAACCTTCATTTTTGTTTGTCGCTATATGATGTTTGAGTTCTTGTTTTCTAGGAAAATCCAAAAGAAAACAGTAAAAAAATGAAAATATTTCCTGTAGAATGTGTTTATAAGAGAGACACCTTCCCATGACTGCTGTGTGTATATAATTACGCATAGTTTTATAATCTTGAAGGAGACAACTTGAATTCTTATTTTTTTATTTGTCTAGGTGTCACTATTGCTCAGAAAAGGGTGTCATTATGAGCATATATGCTGTCAGATATTTTAGCATGTTAAATTTACAATTTAGCTGACATACTTTGGAAATAATGCTCTGCTTAAATCTTTGTAATTTACTAGAAGGCAGCTAATGGGATTAAATATGTTTACCACTTCAAACAGAGATCTTAATTTTCCATTCATATTCTTTCCAAAGTGCTCTTGTTTTTAATCTGAGACAAGTATCTGCTTTTGTCGCAGGTTTTCCCGTTGCTTATCGAAAAGTTCTCATTTGAGGAGCAGGCATCATTGGTATGGCAATTTTTGTGCAGCATTCCTGTAAATATGATGGCAGAATTCCTTCCGTGGCTTTCACTGTCAATTTCACCTGATGAGCAGCAGGATATGCGTAAATGCTTACACAAAATTATCCCCAAAGAAAAGCTGCTTCAACAGGTTAGATACCTTAAGTGCAAACCACAAAAATGAAGGTCTTACTAATTACATTATTCTGACTTACATATTCTCTGTAATGAAGATAATATTTACCTGGATGGATGGGGTAAAGATAAACAGCAAACGTAAACGTTGTGAAGATGATTCCAGAAATGACAGTGCTCCTGTTTCTTTGGCTAGGGGCTTCATTCTTCCAACTAAGAATGGGAACTGTGCATGTGAATCTTCGAGGACTGCTGAAAGTGATAGGCTGCTGTCAGATTGTAATATTATGATGTCTGCCCTAGACCATCCAGTAGATGATATATTGCATTGGCATAAGGCTATTGAAAAGGAACTGAGTGACATTGCTGAAGCAGCTAGAAATATAAAGTTAACAGGAGATTTTTCTGATCTATCTGCCTTTAATAGGAGGCTTCAATTCATTGCCGAAGTCTGCATTTTCCACAGGTATTTTTTGTGCTTGTGCTGTGACATTTCTTAATTATGAGCTCCTTAGAATAAAACTAGTTGTTTCAGGTTTTGGACTATTTCGTAGTGCTGTTGGTAACTTGCAGGCTTGCACCTGGCATTTTTTATGAGCAATGTTTTTGAAAAGCCTTTTTCAAGTTATAATGTTCAACCTTACAAGGACAAGCTATCTAGTTTTTATGGCGCCACAAGAGTTTTCAAAATGCAATTAAGTCTATTCTTCTTGTTAGCTGCTTCAGTGAAATGGAGAAACTGAAAATAATAATGTTCTTTCCTCATGATATACTTTCCTGGCTTGTATTAAACTCCAAATTAATTTTCACAATAGAGTGTCTTGCTTCTTTTACTTTTGTTCTTAAATGAGCTTAACTTGTATCACTTTTGCTGTAGCATTGCTGAGGACAAAGTTATATTCCCAGCCGTTGATGGAGAAATGTCTTTCGTCCAAGAGCATGCGGAAGAAGAGAGTGAATTTGACAAGTTCAGATGCTTCATAGAAAGTATTGAAAGTGCTGGAGGCAATTCATCTGCTGAATTTTATTCTAGATTATGCTCACAAGCTGATCATATAATGGAGACCATAAAAATGCATTTTCGCAATGAGGAAATCCAGGTAAGAGATTTTGGTGATGCTTTATTTCTGTAAGGTTCAGCCTTCCTAAGATAAAGATGTATATGCGCTTCCAGTGAATGGGGGCACTTCTGTTCCTGCACCACTTAATAAGACATCGTCTATAGACGATTACTGATTACCCTAAATTCTAGGTTCTTCCCCTTGCACGGAAGCATTTCAGCCCTGAACGGCAGCGAGAACTTCTGTATCAGAGCTTGTGTGTGATGCCACTGAGATTGATTGAAAGTGTCTTACCTTGGTTGATCGGATCATTGAGTGAAGTGGAAGCTAGGACTTTTCTTTACAACATGCATATGGCAGGTTGTCTGCCTGCTTCCCATTTTCTCAAATTTTACTTTATTCTCAATTACTATTAGCAAGGGCAAAAGGTGATGTACACGCTCTGTTTCTAATTCTGTTATCTAATGCAGCTCCAGCATCGGACGGTGCATTGGTTACTCTGTTCTCTGGTTGGGCATGCAAAGGTTGCCCAAGGGGCACCTGTTTGTCTTCTAGCGCAATTGGGTGTTGTGCTGCAAAAGTGCTGTCAGAACCCCAAGAGATTTTCAATAGATCTTGTCAGTCTTTTGCCTGTTCAAGTACCTCTATTGAAAATTCAACTTGCGGACTAGCAAGTTATTTTGAAAAGACAGTTGAGTCTGCAAACTCAGCCCATCTAGGAGAAAGTAGTTCTTGCAATTCATCAGGGATAGAGTTCCAGAAAGCATCTCTCGCTAACCAGTCTTGTTGTGTTCCCGGTTTAGGAGTGAGTAGCAATAGTCTAGGAACGAGTTCTCTTGCTACAGCGAAATCATTGCGCTCGTTATCTTTTGGTCCTAGTGCCCCTTCCCTCATCTCCAGTCTTTTCAACTGGGAAACAGAGATCAACTCCAGTACCAGCGGGCTCACAACCCGACCCATTGACAACATTTTCAAATTTCACAAAGCCATTAGAAAAGATTTAGAATTCCTGGATGCTGAGTCTGGTAAACTTAGTGATTGTGATGAGACTTTCCTTAGACAATTTAGTGGTAGATTTCGTCTTTTATGGGGCTTATATAGAGCTCACAGTAATGCCGAGGATGATATTGTATTCCCTGCCTTGGAAGCAAAAGAAACCCTTCATAATGTTAGTCATTCTTATACGCTAGACCACAAGCAGGAAGAGGAACTATTTGAGGATATCTCATCTGCGCTAGCTGAGCTTTCTCAACTTTATGAAAACTTGAACGGAAGAAATTTGACTGGAGATTCAAGTGCAAGTCTCTCCAGTTCTTCTGATTGCATTGATAGTTCGAGAAAATATAATGAGCTAGCTACAAAGATACAGGGCATGTGCAAATCCATTAAAGTAACTTTAGATCATCATGTTATGCGGGAAGAAGTTGAACTTTGGCCATTGTTTGACAGACATTTTTCTGTGGATGAGCAAGACAAACTTGTTGGCCGCATAATTGGTACAACAGGAGCAGAAGTGCTGCAGTCGATGCTACCATGGGTTACATCAGCTCTTACCCAGGAAGAGCAAAATAAAATGATGGACACGTGGAAACAAGCAACCAAAAACACAATGTTCAGTGAGTGGCTTAATGAGTGGTGGGAAGGGACTCTAGCTGAATCTTCCCAGACACCCACATCTGAAAAAAGTATCTCCAAAGGTACTTGGAATGCTTAATATATCTTGCCTTTTAACTTTCCACTTTTTATTCTGTGTTTTAGACTTCTAGTAAGAAATATATATTTAAGAATTTGCTTGGGAGCTTCTTCTTGAACTTCAATTTTTCCATATTCAGAACATGAGATACATGAATCAATGGACCAAAATGACTATACTTTTAAGCCTGGGTGGAAAGATATTTTCCGGATGAATCAAAATGAGCTTGAGTCGGAGATAAGAAAGGTCTCTCGTGATTCAACTCTTGATCCAAGAAGAAAAGCCTATCTTATTCAAAATCTGATGACCAGGTTCCTCTTTTTTATAACTTGATCTTTTAGATCCCTATCTTTCATTAATGTCCTGCTTTTTACTTACTGTGGTTGGTGCATCTGTTATCTAGTCGTTGGATAGCTTCTCAGCAGAAGTTTTCACAATCAAGAACCGGTGAAACGAAAGATGGTGAAGATTTACTTGGATGTTCCCCATCATTTCGTGATCCAGAGAAACAAGTCTTTGGATGTGTGCATTACAAAAGAAACTGCAAGCTGCGTGCTGCTTGCTGTGGCAAGTTATTTGCATGCAGATTCTGCCATGATGAAGTCAGTGACCATTCTATGGACAGGTGACATTTGAAGAAATTATTTTATCAAATGGAAATTATAAATAAAAAGGTCGTTCTTTGATATTCAATTGTTTATTTACAGGAAGGCAACATCTGAGATGATGTGTATGAATTGCCTAAAAATTCAACCAGTTGGGCCAGTTTGCACAACCCCATCTTGCAATGGGCTACTGATGGCAAAATACTATTGCAGTAGCTGCAAATTTTTTGATGATGAAAGGTCAGCTTTCATTGAGTTTGTTCTGTTGGCAGTTTCTTGTGGCACCAATAGGTTTTCTTTAAAATTTTAAATTATCTCACTATTTGAAATTGAAAAACCATTAAGTGATGTTGCTTTGGAGAATCAAGGACCTAGAATGAAGCAGGCTGAGGTTTACTTTATTATTCACTATTGTAAAATGGCCATATGCTGAGACAGATCATCTTCTTTCATTTTAACTGCATTCAGCCATTCACCAATGCATTTCAAAGAAAAGAAATATATTGTTTGTCTTTCTTTTGTTTAGATTTTAAGGAACTTTTGGGGTAAGCTTATTGTTTAGATTACTGCAACATGATGAATATTTTCCACATTCATTCTGAGTAACAGTAACGTTGTAGTATTGTTAATTAAGTTCGTACTTAGGGAAGCCTGTAAATCTTCCTTCTCATTCCTGGCAAACATTTCTCAGGAGGTTTGTGCTTTTTCACTAGCAATTCCCTTAAATTTTATGTTGATAAACTCTGTTCTTAGCCAGTGGTTGGTTTAATGCATATCTTCTAGAGACGTATGGTACATAGGTATGTGCATACTACCGGACATGCATTACATGTAATTTTAGCTTGTGATCTGAATTTTTCCATATTATCCTTCGAATTGTTTCTTCAGGGAAGTTTATCATTGCCCATTTTGCAATCTATGTCGTGTTGGAAAGGGACTTGGTATAGATTTTTTCCATTGCATGACATGCAATTGTTGCTTGGGAATGAAAGTGGTGGAGCACAAGTGCAGGGAGAAAGGCCTTGAAACTAATTGCCCCATTTGCTGTGATTTCTTGTTCACATCAAGTACAGCTGTAAGAGCTCTTCGTTGTGGCCATTATATGCATTCTGCTTGCTTCCAGGTCTGTTCTGTTCTGCAGAATTTGTTGGGCTGTGTTTGTGAAGTATATAACATGGTGCTGGCATTTACCCCTCTCTTCCATTTTCCCAGGCATATGCTTGCACGCACTACATCTGTCCTATTTGTAGCAAGTCTATGGGAGATATGTCGGTAAGTATACCTTTTTTCTTTCTTTGACTTAATCGAAGTTGATTGTTGATGAAATTGAAGTGAGAATAAACTGATCTTAAATATTTTTTTTTGTCTTTGTATTTCTTCTTACCTTTAAAAAAAAAGAAGTCTTTGTATTTCTTCTTTCTTCGAGGTATTGCAGTTAAGTCATTTAGGATCATGTATATGATGATGAACAACTTTCATTTTCTATTTTCATTTCTCGTATTGGGTTGTGAGGGTGGGGTTGGTGGAGTCAAATACAAAAGGGTCACGGAAAGTTCTAGCGTCTACTATTTCTCTCCTGTCTCTTCAGGTAGCAATTGATTCTGTTTCTTTCTTGAAATCTAGAATGATATCAATGATGTGAGGGCTAGTTAACCAATCTATTCTCTACAATCATAAAGCAAGTTCAAAGTTTCTTGCATTTTCTCTGGTAGGCATGTGCAAATTTGTTTCCAAACTCAATTATTTTTGTAATATTAGTAAATTATATTCTGTTCACATCTCTAAGTTGATGAATCAAACAGAATGATTATTAAAAGATTCATTTAGCAATCTTAAATACATTTGAAAAACAGCTTAAGATTGTTTTTTGTTTTATTCTTGTTCCCATTCTATGCAAGTTTTTGTATTTATGTATACAAGTTAACTTGAAAATTATATTCTGCTTCTCTTATCCAGGTCTACTTTGGCATGCTTGACGCTTTAATGGCTTCCGAGGTGCTTCCAGAAGAATATAGGAACCGCTGTCAAGTAAGCCTCGATTTCACATTACCAATGTTTCTTTCTGCTCATTTGTTTGTTAAACCAGTGGTTGAGGAACTTAATTTGGTATGTCCAGGATATCCTATGCAATGATTGTGACAAGAAGGGAAGAGCACCGTTTCATTGGCTGTATCACAAGTGTGGCTTTTGTGGGTCTTATAATACCAGAGTAATCAAGGTTGACAGCGATCCTAATTGTTCGACATAGTTAGCTATCAACGGGAATTGCATTCATCTGGTGACTGGTGTTCGTTGATAGATGTCCGGTAACTCGGATTGCATAGCCTGGACTGTTGAGGAAACAAAAAAGTTCAAATCTTATCTATTCTACTCTCCTGTCTTCTCGTAAATACTCAATATTTTCCCAAAATTTTGGCATCATATGTAGATTAGAATAAATAGAGTTCATCTCCAATCGCTAAATTGAGAAGAGAAACCAGTCTCCATTCAGTTGCACTTGTGTCTAATTGCTGATATATGCTTAATCAGAGGTGATGCAACTGGAAAGACAAATAGTAGAATCTGCAATGAGTCCTAGGTTTCTCTTCGATGAACAGCAAACAAAAATTATGGATTTGTTACTTTTCTATCTAGATTTCCGAATAGAAGAAGGTTTTGCTTTGATTCACAATAAAAATTACAAAAATTGATAAAATCTTGAAACGTATATTCCAGTTTCTATGGAGTTCGAGTTTTGTTAGCTACCATAAGGTGAAAAGAAAGCTTCTTTGGAGATAATTGGATGGTATTGAATGACAAAACTATTCCATTTCTGTTGAGTTTCAAATCTTGTTCTTATTTTGGATTTCACTTAGCAAAAGCTGCTCGCACAGGGTCCATGTGGCACAACCCTTCACTTTGTCAATTAGACGGCGTTGATTTATCTACTATAGTTAGGCGGATCCAGGAACTTTACTCACTGGGGACAGATATAACTAAGAAATATTTTACTCATTTTTCTTGAACTTTCAAAATGTAATGGGAAATTCAGTGTCTAATGTGACAGTTGACCCACTATCCCCACCTTAAATCCATCAATTTAACCTTGTTTGGTGATTCATAAAGGATTTCAAATGTTCCATATTATTCGAATTAGAGCGTAAGATAGTCCATTCGGCCCTCGGGTCCTCGAACTGGAGCAACCTTCTCCACACGAGCCAGCAAGTTAAGATATGTAATATAAGCGAGGTGGGAAGCTTTCAATCATATTTGCATATCGGACATGTTAGTGCACTTTCAATAATTTGACCTTAAATCCACAATTAGCAATCTTCTCATGCGACGGGCAGTGGAGTTCACTACGCCTGTGACTCACTTCTCCACTCAAACCGCTAAAGCCCAGTGGAATGTGTGCTTTGCATCTTTGCACTATTTTAGCATTGCATTATTTTTCACGCTGGTGGATTTGAAAAATCTCCACAATTGCGACAACATTCTCGTGATGTGCAAGCGTCCACAGTGTCCCCTACACCTCTTCTCGCATTAACATGTACACGCCACCTTTGACATCAACTTTCACCCACCTCTGCATTGGTTCCTCGGATGGTGGCTCCTCTAACTGCGTGCATTGGTTCCTCGAATGGTGGCTCCTCTAACTGCAGCGGCGCTGCACCACGTATGTCGAAGCATTCAATACAAATGCCCCCACATTTGATTTCTTTTGCAATGCCTTGTCACGCTCTACGAAACAAACGTTTGTGTAATAAGCAAAACTATGTAACACATGCCTCAACCTTTGTCATCCTCGAAGTTTTCCATCACCGAACTCGCTTGCCAACCACATTACCGCACATCTCATGGCTTTCTCCTGTCTTTGGCAGTCCCAAAATCATTTCCTTGGGAATGCACGCCATCAGTCTCAGGTAAACCAACAACGCAACGTTTGAAGTGGACCTACTCTCGTACCAATTGTAACAGACCGCTCATTCTACCCTCGAGTTCTCGACAGTCCCTTGGTAGCCTTCCCTACACATGAGCCAGCAAGATAAGATATGTAATATGAACACAATATAAGTGAGATGAAAAGCTTGCAATCGTACCTACATACTGTAGTCGCTGCCTTCTCTCATTCTTGAACTCTTTCCATGCCCGACTCTTCTCTCTACCCGAAACCCTTCATTTCTTCTTCTTTGCACGTCTTCTTTCTCGTTTATAATATTTTATAGGAGTCATCTTGATCAAAATAAGAAGAAAGAATAAAAACTAAAGGTGGAAAAAGACACGTAAGATATAAAAATGAAATTTGAAATTTTCTCATTCGACCTGGTCCATTCAGTTGAAATTGATGTGCTTTCATTGCTAAAATGTAAAGTCTATAGATCTATACTCCAGCTAAAAATGAAAAGTGCAAAAGGTTACTATAGTACTAAATTAATGCTTCTTCAATAAATTTGCATGAATATAATAATCTAAAATACTATCGCAAAATACAGAATAATAATAAATAACTAAATAAAAAGAAAGAAAGAGTTCAAATACATAGCTTATTTTTCAGAGAAATATACAACAAACACCCAACATGTTGGGATTTACCATTTGCATATCATATTCTACAAATGTCATTTTGCACACAATATTTTAGTTATTACCTTTGTTAAAAAAGAAAAAGAAAAAGAACACACACACATTTTGTAGGAAACTAGAAACATTTACAAATTTGTTATTATAAATAGCTAAAGAGACAAAAATATTCCCAATTAAAAATAACAAATCACACCATATATGTTACAATAATATAGGTAGGCGTGACCATAGCGAGCTGAGCTCCTTTTGGGCGAGCTCGGCTCACCTTTTTTTTTTTTAACGCTACTACAACTAAATTTTAAATTCAAAAAATATATATATGCATATTTTCTATTTTTTTTAAAACATACATTTTCCAAAACATGTATCGGGGCTCGTCAAAATATTTATAATTTTTAAAATGGTAAATATACATTTTCTAAAATATTTTTATTTAAAAAATAGATAAATAAACCCTCCTCCTTTATCAAGGTTTGGGACCAACTATTTTAATTTCGAGTAGGCGGAGTTAAAATTGTATGCGAATAACTTTTTAAGTGTACAATTTTTTAAAAAAA